TACTACCAAGCACCTTTATCTGCATGCCTTGTTTTATGACTACTAGGACAGTGAAACAAATTCACTTCACACAGAGCCTTAAAGCTCATCATTTCCCAGGCTAGGAATCAGTCAGTTGTACCCTAGACCTTCAGCTTCTCTAGTTCCCCCTCTAGCATTACTCTCTGATGGCTTGCTTCCAGGGCAACTATCTCTTGACCCTACAGAATCCAACACAATGAAAACAGGGTTTCTCAGAGCATTCACCTCAGAGAGACCTACAACACTAACGAATGAAACCAATAGTTGGTTGTGACACTTGCGACTGTTCTGACTGACCAGTTAAGAGAACAGATGCAAATGTTAAGATGAAAACAAAACAAAAACACATCTCAAACTTTTGCAGGGCTTGGCTGACCTGGCCTGTAGGCTATTGCCTAACTGACAGGATAAGCTCCCAAGCCATTTCCCAGATCTTATGTTTCCTAGGTGAGTATCAAATACACAATGACCAACTCAGCATATACATATTATATCAGAACTTTGGACCACAGACCCTAAATATTCTATCAAAGAGGTCAGTTGATTCACAAGTAAATATATCCAGAAGTAAATTGACCTTTAAAGTTGGTGAGAGAACAGAAGAAACAGAAACAAACCAAACCTTCAAGGCACAGATTCCTACCTTCTTTTTGGAGTGGTTTCTTTCTTCTTCCTTTGTAGCTTTGCTATTTTTCCCAGCACGAGACACCTTCTGGTCCCCAGACTGCTTTATTGTGATCTTGATCTCAGGGGGGCATATATAGTTCTCCAGGTTTTTGGGGGGTTTCTTAGCCCGCTTTGTGGTCTGAATCTTCAGCTTCAAACTCCCCTCGGTGAAGTTGGCCTCTTTGATGGAGAACTCCTGCTCTTCCAGGCCATCTCCAGCCACCCATTTCTCACTGTCTGCATTAGAGTTGCAATCCACATCGCGTCCTGAGCCCAATTCATCCTCCTCCTCTGGCTCCATGCGTTCTCCACCCACAGGGATGCCTTTCAAAGGCTCTCCTGAACAGCCAGGAGCGGCTGGTGACTTGGATGAGGAGCCTGGAAGGAATTCTGTTTCGCTCCCTCTTTGCCGAGAGCTACTTAAAATTTCTCTGGACTCCATGATAATCCTACAGTCTTCGGGAGTTCTTGGGAGGGAGGAGGGATGAAGGGAAGTAAAAAAGATCAAAAAAGAGGGCACCCAAAATTCCAAGAACAAAGTAGTCCAGCTGCTGGTTTCAGCGTCCTAAGAACGGAGATGTAGTGAAGTGCTCAGGAGAGAGCAGATCTGCAATTGAGAAGCAGAGAGATAAGTGGCTGTGGTTGGAAAGAACTGGACCCCAATAGATCCAATCCCAGTTTCTAAAGTCCTTCCCACACGTCTACAGTATCAGAAAATCAGTCCGAAAGCTCCCATACCCAAATTGAATTATACTAGAGCACAAGGGAAACATATCCACACATGACGTCATGATGGGTTATTATTACTTTTTACAGCTGCAGGCCCAAAGAAAAAG